TAGGTGATATCCCAATGTGGTTTTGATTTGCATTTCTCTGGTTGAGGCTGAGCAGTTTTTTATGTGTCTGTTGGCTGCCCATATATCTTCTTCTGAGAAGTGTCGATTCAAGTCTTTTGCCCACTTTTTAAAATTTTTTTAATTTAAAGATGTGGGGTACAATGCAGGGTTAGGTATACAAATGTTCATTATGCAGGTACCCCTGTTGATGAAGTGTGCCCCCTCTCCTGGTAGATTCCTTTCCTTTCGGCGCATTTGAGTTCCTTACAGATCCTGGTGCTAGGTTCTTTTTAACAACCAACTCTCACATGAACAGTGAAAGCTCACTCATTATAGCCAGAACACCACCAAGTCATTCATTAGGGACCTACCCTCATGACCCAAACACCTCCCACTAGGCCCCACCTCCAACATTGTAGATCATACTTCAATATGTGATTTGGAGGAGACAGCAGTCCAAACTATGTCACTGCCCAAAAAGCAGATTTATGTTCCCATCCCACATTCCTTCCCACCCTCACTGACCACCAGAAGTAGTTTCATCCTCCTGGAATGAGGGATAACTCTCCTCCCTCCCCTAATCCACCCCTTATGGACCTACCAGTAGCGGGAAGAGTATGGGGATTGGAGGAAGGCAGATTTCATTGTGAATCCTGGTCTTGACTCACATCAACTGTGATCTTAGGCAAGTTACTTAACTTCCCTCAGCTTCCATTTCTCCATCTTCACTGAATGGCTAGGAGGATTAAGAGGAGTCCCTGGTGGACCACTTAACCCAGGTTCATACTCCCAGCTCTTTTACCCCCCATCACCCTCTACCCATTTCTATCCTATACAGCTCTCAGAGAGCACATCTATACATCATCCTCTGAAATCCTCACAACAGTGCCCTGGTATAATCAGGGTAGGTGTTATTATTCTACTTTTGAGACATAGGTAGTCAATTTATTGAACCATCCGAACTTAGTAGGAAGCAAACAGAAGATATTTCTTTTTTTTATGCAATAGTGTTTGCTTTGATAAACCTCTCCCTGGGTTACACATCCCACAACAAAATCTTAGCAGATTGCTTAATTTTCTGGTTACTTAAACGAATTAAAAGTCTGTCTAAAATAAAGCTCTAGTCCTCCCTTCTATTTAAGCCTCATTCCTGCAACATCAGTCCAATTTATAGCCTGAAGGACTTGAAGTAAAGAGGGCCTGTTGAGCTCCTTTGCTGCTTCCAAGTCCTCATCTTAGTGTGACTCAGTCTCCATAAATAAGGTTCCATAGCCCCTTCTCACTTAGCTTTTACAAAGATGGAGGATCTTCTTCAAAATCAGTGCTATGCTCCCAAGGCCTCGGACCCCATTGCCCTATATCAGTCAGGTTATGCTAGGCTATGTCGTGGTAACAAGCAACTCCACAATCACTCAAGGATGCCTTCTTCCTCCTTTTTCTACAACTCTGACTCCTCTGGTAGGTTTGGGCTGCAGGCAGAAGGAAAGAAATGAGTTTTAGCTGGCCCACTCTTTCTGACTTTTCTATGTAGGTTGTTACTGCTTCTCTGGCTGGCCATTTCTGGCTGATGATGCCCCATTGGCTGTCCTAGTGGACTTGTCTAGAGGGCTTTGCAGAGCCTCCCCACTGTAGGGCTACTTGAAGTGGAGAGCTTCACCCAACCACACCCAAATTCCAGAAGGCAAAGAAGTCTAATCCCACCAAGTACAGGAGGATGGGGAGGACAGCATTGTATCAGTTAGCTATTGCAGTGTACACAAAATAGATACACAGTTTAATAGCTTAAAACACCAACCATCTCTTTAGTTGATGAATGTGTGGGCTGACACTTTGAGCAGAACTCAGCTGAATGTTCTCTTCTCCTCTAGACTCCCTTATGCCTACAGGGCAGCAGGGTGGCTCTGCTTCTGGGGTCTCCCTGGAGTAGCAGGGAATTAACTAGATGATGCATCTCTCCTGACCCTTAAGGCTACCTTGACTTTGTCCATGTTACAGTTTGGCAGGCTTCCAAAGAGAAGACAGAAGCACGCAAGGTATCTTGAGGCCTGGACTTGGAACTGTATTAAAATTGCTTCTGCTCAAAAAGAATAGGCACTGGGGAAATCAACAAGGGGGGAGGTGGGGAAGGGGGCTAGGATTCAGAAACTACCTATGGAGTACATTGTTTACAATCTGGAAAATTGGCCACATGAGACCAAGTCTCCAACACTACACAATATGTTCATGTAATGAACACACATGTGTACCCCCAGATCTAAAATAAAGATTTTTAAAAATTGCATTGCTACCTTCTATTGGTCAAATTCCCAAAGCCAACAAGTTCAAGGAGTGGAAAAATAATCTCCACTTTTGATGGGAGGAGCTATGAATGTACATAGCAGAGTGGCATGGATAAGAGGCCTTTTTGTAGTCTATCCCAAGCACTAATGACCACCATATCTTCCAGGACTTCTGTTGTGGAAGCTGGAGGAGCAAAGCAGAGGTGGCTGGGCTTAGCAAGCCCACATCAACTTGTGTTATATATTATATGGGGGAATCTGATCACCCTTGATGGAGGCCATTATTAGATTAGAGTACTGAGCACTTTTTTCATTTTTTAATTTTTTTAATTATTTTATTTTTAATTGACAAATAATAATTGTACATATTTATGGGGTACATAGTGATGTTGCAATGCATATGATATAATACATTATATATTACATATGATATAGTGATCAGATCAAGGTTATTAGTATATCCAGCATCTCAAGCATTTATTATTTCTTTGTGTTGGAGTGTTCAATATCTTTCTTCTGGCTATTTGGAACTATATAATGTTGTTAACTTTAATCATCCCATAGTGGTACAGAGCACTAGATCTTATTCCTCTGATCTAGCTGTAATCTTTCAATAAATCTCTCTGTCCTTCCCTTTTCCCTACACTTCTCAGCCTCTACTATCCTCTGTTCTACTTTTCACTTCAAAAAAAAGATCGACTTTTTTTTTAACTTCCACATATGAGTGAGAACATGCAGGGTTTAACTTCTTGTTCCTGACTGATTTCACTTAACATAATGTCCTCCAGTTCCCTCTGTGCTGCCATGAATGACAAGATTTCATTTTTTTGTGGCTGAATAGTATTCCACTGTGTATATATACCACATTTTCTTTCTTCATACATTAATCTATTGTTGGATTCCATATCTTGGCTATTGTGAATAGTGCTGCTATAAACGGGGTGGGGAGGGAGTGCAAATATCTCTTTGATATACTGATTTTCTTCCCTTTGGTAAATACGCAGCAGCGGGATCCCTGGATCACATGATAATTCTACATCTAGTTTTTTGAAGAGCCCTAGTACTGTTCTCCATAGTTGCTATACTAGTTTACATGCTCACTAGCAGTGTATGAGTTCCCTTTTCTCCACATCCTTACCAGGATCCATTTTTTGTGTGTCTTTTTTATAATAGCCATCCTAACTAGGCCAAGGTGATATCTCGTTGTATTTTTGGTTTGCATTTTCCTGATATTAGTGAGGTTGAGCAATTTTTTTCATGTTCTTATTGGCTATTTGTGTGTCTTCTTTTGAGAAATGTCCGTTCAGATCATTTGTCCATTTTTTAATTGGATAGTTTAGTTTTGTTTGTTTTTTTTCATTATGTTTGATTTTCTTGTATATTCTGGATATTAATCTCTTGTCAAATGAATATTTTACAAATATTTTCTCTCATTAGGTAGGTTGTCTTTTCACTCAGCTAATTGTTTCTTTTCCTGTGAAGAAGCTTTTCAGTTTGATATATGAGCACCTTTTTGTCTGCAGTTTTGACCATACTTGTTAATTCCAAGCAACAGAAAGAACTTCCATGGCTATTCAGTTACAAAGGGAAACCATCTTAAGGGTAAAGTGACCTTTGAAGGTCATGCACGTAGTAAGTGGCTCATTTTTTTATCTGAACAGAGAGAAAACTAGCTGCTACAGGTTAGTGATGAGAAAGCATAGTAAACAGGAGAGACTGTGGCTGGGATAGACAGAACAAGGTGGACCATGGTACATCAGGTTCTAGAATCTTCTAGTTCCTGGAGCCCATGAAAAGGAGTTTTTCTTACATCTAAGAACAAAGGATGTGTCTTAAGGGATTTTAAACAAGTGCTCATATGCTCACATCTGTGTTTCAAAAACATCTCTCTGGCTTTGATGTGAAGACTGGATTCAAGTGACAGACTTGACAAACCCAGACCTGTCAGAAGCTAGTGCTTTTCTAAGCCCATTTTGATGCCTCTTTATAAGCTCAAAAGACAAAAAAGAAATAAATGGGGTAGTTTGTCATAATCAAACACAAGGAGCAGGGCAGCATGAAGAACAAAGTCAAAGGCATAATTCATTGTGCCCTATGTCCTACACACATGCACATATACACATAGAGAGACAGAAAGAGAGAGAAATATTACTTATCCATATGTTTCAGACCCAAGTGGACCTGAGAGTTTCTGGTTTGTGTTCTGTGGATAGTTTAGCAAGACTGATTTGGAGTCAGATAGCGTCCTCTTTTGCTTTGCTGTGTTCAGAGACAAGTGGGTGCTAAGTGATCATAAGAAAGAAAGACCAGCATTACACATCCAGCCTTTGAGCCCATGAGTTAGTACACTTAATGTTTCCAATGATTCAAATTCAAAAGGCAAATGATGTCAAAAGTCAATGTGGTGGGACATTTAACTGCACATTGGTGGGATCTTAAAGAGGCAGGGGAGGAGGAGCAATGGCAGAAGCAAAGGGTCCTTTTTCTGCTCACCTGGCTTGGCAGCAGGGGTAGGCTTGAGGGGCACTGCTGAATTCCCACTTCATGAGGCACTGCCATCACCCCACCCGCACAAGGACACATATGAGCCTACTGCAGTGGGAGAAGGGGGACTGGGGGTGTCAGTGGGACTATGCAGTGCACGGAGCAGACCTCACCCCACATCTTGTGTCCACATGATCCGTCAATTGTAAGAGAGACTGTTCTGTTGTTGCATTGCAGCTCCAGAAACTAAAACGATCACTTTCTTTCAAGACCAAGAGTTTACGGAGCAAAAGTGCTGACAACTTCTTCCAGAGAACCAACAGTGAAGACGCAAAGCTGCAAGCAGACATGGTAGCTGAGATCAGCCCCAGCTCCAGCCCACTCCCTGCTCCAGGAAGCCTGATGTCCACTCCCGCCAGAGCTGGCCTGTACCCAGGTGGCAAGGCCCATGCCTTTCAGGAACACATCTTCAAGAAGCCCACTTTCTGTGATGTCTGCAACCACATGATAGTGGGTAAGACCTTCCTCTGCCCCCTCCTCCAGATCCCAGCACCCCTGAAAAGCTGAGTGAGAGCAGTGTACCGTGGGCCAGGTACCCATGGACAGACTCTGGGCCTCAGATATTTACATGCAGGAAGATCATTCAGGAGTGCTTTGGGGAACAATATTTATGAAAAGGTAAGAGAAGCAGGACTGTGCAGTGGGAGAAGTTGGGTTGGGATATCGTTGTAACCAGGACTTCAGCCCCATCCCTCAGAAAGCTCTGAACCCCTATAGAATGTTCTTGCATTGATGCAAGAGATCTGGGTCTTTGGACACCTGCGTCAGCTTGTCAACACACACAGGCAATGAGTAAGACTTGGAATGTTTGTTGTTTCTCAAAGAGGCCAATGTCTGTCATCCCTGCACTTGGACATATCAGTGATATCCACAATGGTCAAGAAGGTAGGGTTCTGCAGTTCCCTTCATCCGTTGCTAAGGCTCAGTTAAGGGGTGGGATATTCAAAACAGGAACAATTCAGCCCCTCTTACAACCATACACACAAGGCCTGTTCTCATTTTCAGAAAATCATTATCTACTCAAATTCTCATTTTCTAGTCACTGTGATTCGTGCTCTTCCTTCAAACAACCACATTTAAGAACAGTGCTTATATCAGACAAGGATTTCCAAGATAATATTGCAAAAAAACTACTCTAGAACTCCATATTTTACTTTAAAATAGCATCTTTTACTTTCACCTTCATCTTCAGATCAGCTGGGGTTTGACTGATCCAGATTCGGCACAGTATTTGCATCTTCTCTCTATTCCTTATCTCCTACTCTTTCCTAGAGGCAGTGGGCTAGCCATGCCATATTTTTCTCATGATGAGGACAAGTGGAAAGTCTTGGGCTGGAAATGGCTCACCATGGCTCCTGGGGACATTACATTAGCTGAAGTAAGTCATGTAGCTAAACCCTTAGACTAGGGATAGTGCACTCTTCTCATCCCCATCTTCTCTAATAACAGGGTCTACAAGCCACCTGTCAAAAGACATGGATACAACAAGGCATAAAGAATGGGTTCAGTAATCCAATATATCTCTTAGGGTGGTCTCTAGATTACTGATCCTTTTTTTGTTTGAAAGACTCTATTAAGTCTTGGAGCTCCCACCCTTCCACCTCACAATCTGGCCATGATGCCTGTCTGTCTGTCAGCATGAGTTTTGCTCCATAAACTCTTGGTCTTATCATGTCCCATGCTGAAAATACTTAGGCACTGTGACCTCCGTTTCTGCCTCTGCCTGGCTTCTGAATCTGATGCGTCACTTGCAATTTCCACACAAATTTCCATCAGGCCTTTTCATGGCAGTGCTATTCATAACCCTTAAATAGGTGATGATGAGTCTCTATTTTAAACCTCATTGTGACGAGTGTGAAAAGACAAACAGAATATGTGTTTTTTTAAAAAATGAGTAACGGAAATGAGTTCACCTCTGAGGAATGTTATCGTCTTTACCCTGAAGAAGATTCTAGGTACACCTCAAGTATAGCAACAATTTTGAAAGGCTCTATTTTGAATATCACGAAAAATACCCTCTGCTGAAGAGAACTACACCATGCTTTTCTTTCATCAGAATTATATTTATATTGTAGCTGTCATTTCATCTTAATAAAGAAAGAACAAAAGTCAACAAGTCTTGCTGCTCTTTTCAAGGATAGAAACAAATGAACCAAATATTAGGCTCCTTCTAAGAAAGAAAAAATGAGGTTTAGAGAGGGATTGTGGGACAGAAGAGAAAGGGGGAGACAGAAAAGGCTGGAAGAAGGAGATGAGGAGAGAAGGACAAGTGGAGATGAATAGGGGTTGATAAATGTTCTAGCTTCCTGAAGTAATGCAAAGGATTTTTTAATTCTCTGATAATGGAGCACAATCGATCTGCCTTCTTTCTCTTTCATTTTTTTTAATAGTCAAGACTCACTTTGTTGCCAAGGCTGAAGTGCAGTGGCCCGATCACAGCTCACTGAAGCCTCGACCTCCTGTGCTCAGGTGATCCTTCCATATCAGTCTCCTGAGAAGCTTGGGATATTGCCCTGGCTGCTCTCAATCTCCTGGCCTCAAGCGATCCTCCTGCCTCAGCTTCCCAAAGGGCTGGAATTATAGGCATGAGCCGCTGCGCCTGGACTGCTTTCTCTTACTTTACTCTTTGAACCTAGTCTTCTGTCTCCACATAGATTATCTGAAGATTTGTTTCCTTCTAACTACAGGTCATCATCATATTCTAGATTTTAGGGAAAGACTACCTGCTGTTACCTCCTTAGAATGACGTTTCAGAAAAAAATGTTAAAACTGTTTTTTTTTCTTTCAACAGAAAACCAAAGGTTGTATAATGATAGTCAAGAAAGAAATGAATTTGTACACTTCCCACCTGATGGAAAATAAAACGAACCTGACATCCTCAGTGGAAAACTCACAGCTGATTTTACAAGGGCTTGCCTTGGGTTTGTCCCTTTCTGATGCCCATGCCTTAAAGCTTGAAAGGCTACATATTTACCATAAGATCACTGATGAGTAAGAGTAGATTGGGACCAAAGCCTCATTCATTGCACATCCATTTCTAATTTTCTTAGCTTCCTTTTGCCAACTTTGCCCTTGTGCTCGGACCTGACACCCAAAACTTCTACTTACCTGGTTTCCATACTCCTTGGGTTAAGCAGGCACCGTGGCATGCCGGCCAGCTAATCTAACCTTGATTCTAGAACCTTATACTCTCTGTGGTCACTTCTTAGGCCTTTTCCCAGAAAACCTGGTCATCTGTGCAGGCCAAAGATGATCAACTCCAATGCTGAATGCTCCTGCCTTTGGGCCACCAGGATGCAGTGCCAAGTCTCAGACTAGGAGAATTCTGAACTGTCTCTTGTACTGATTAGATGAACATATGTCTTCCATCAAGTAGATTCACTCTTGCCACCCTTAGGTCTTGACAATGAGATTAGGGATGGGAGGTCTTCACTGTGTATCACCTAAATGTCTTCCATCAATGGCATTCTATATTTACATTAAATGAATTACTAAATAATTAAATGAATTATCTAAATATTAAATGACTCATTTCAGGAAGTATTCTATATTTACATTAAATGAATTATCTAAATAAGTAAATGAATTATCTAAATATTAAATGACTCATTTCAGGAGAGCATTGACTCTTGTGTTCTAATCTGCCTCTCACTGAAAAGACTTCAGCAAGTCAACGTGTACTTTTCATATCATTAACTCAATGCAGGGGTCTATTTTATCAAGTAAGGAAATGTTTCCAAGAGACTCCATTCTTCTATTTAATGCCAGATACTTTGTTTCTAAAGTTATACTTAAATTAACTAAATATTTTCAATTGAAGCCCACTTAGAAGATACAGCATATTAAGCAGACTCATATTTTCTAAACAGATATTTTGCAAAATGGGTGTCATTACCTAAAATTTCAGCTTCTTTATGCAGTTGCTGCACAAAGAATCATTCACTTTCATAACTGCCAAGTGGCAACCACTGCGGAAAATAATAATGGCCATGTCTTAGGTAAGCATTCCGAGAAGCAGGGTCTGAGAAAGTGTTTCTTGTGAAAGTGGTTTGTTATGAGAAGTGCCCTCAGGAGAAGGAGAGTCAAAATAGTCATAGAGGCAGGGGAAGGAACTAAGCAAGGATGGGGTCTCAACTGGAGTCTGCTTCAGATTGATTCCACTGAGTAGTCCTGCCCTGAGACAAGGGACTAGCCTGTTGTATGTACCGCTCCCTCAGTCACTGACCATGACTGCCCTCAGGTAGTGGGGGGGGCATGGTGTCCCAGGAAAGGAGCATCCCATTTGGCTGAAGATAAATCTCATGAAAAAAGGCTATCTATGAGTCACTAGCAATCAACACTGAATAAAGCACCAACAGTTGGACAAGGTTCACTATGTCTGTAAACATACTTTAAGATACAGTAAAGAACATCCTTCATTAGGAATGAATTTAAAATGCAGGTAAACTATGACATCGCTGTACCTATGACATTACATTACCATTATGATGGATACAATAACACAAGGAAATACCACATTTCACTGAGTCCCAGAAGTTTCTGCTGTGCTCTTGTTTCCTGACTTATTCTGACCTCATTTCATTGCTCAAAAAAATCCAGAAGGCATTAACCAAATGTTGAACAAATATAATATATGTATAAACATATATATATTACACACACACAAACACACACACACATACACACACATAAAAACATAGAACTAAAAAGACAAATCAGTGTTTGCTCACCAATGAAGTTGTCTCTTGGTGAAAAAGACCAAACAAAGATCAAGGGGAATATTAAAAAGTAAATGTCAAGTCTGTGTATTTTCAGAATGGAATTGAACCTCAGAGGTGCCACCAATCATTTAACTGGACAATTGTTTTAGGGGCTGTATAGCTTATAAACAATAAAACACAAATGCTCTCTAAAACCTTTTTTTAAATGTTTCAAATAGATACTCTCTTTTGAGCCATAGTATGTTTCCATATTAAAATGAAGAAAATCCTAGCACTCAGTAGTTTGTCCAATGGAATTATTAATCTCTGGTGTCCAGAATTTAACTGTTACTCTTCCACTAGAGAACAAAAATACGGTGCAATGCCTAGTCAAATAGTTCCTTTCTATTCTTTGCACATCGTGCCCCCTTTAGAGAACCCTATGGATTCTGGGCACAGAATTTTAAGTGAAAGTAAGGAAAGCTAAAACAGTCACAATAAATAGATGGTGACCTGTCAGCTAAGGAATGTTTGTAAGAGGTGGCAATGTTTGGCTTGAAAAAGACTTAGGAGAACATGACTATTGTCTTCAAATAGCTGACGTTATTTCCTCTGGGAGAGAGTTTAAACTTACTTGGGATCCCAAGTGCACAATGATGGATAATATAGTGAGGCAGAGAACATGACACTAAAAAACAGAGCTTTTTTTTTTTTCATCTAGAGCATACAGATTTTATTTATAAAACAGCCTAACTTTCAAAAATATATATTCTCTGGTGATTTTCACAACATCTGGGATTTTTTTGTTTGTTTTTATTTATTTATTTTTAAGATGTGGGGTACAGTTCAGGATGAGGTATACAAATAGTCACTGTACAGGTAAAGTTTGGGTCTGTCTTTGGTCCCCACTTCACCTGGGTTGAGATCAAGTACCCTAATTGATGAAGTGTGCACAAAAGACAGCTTCTTAAAGTAATTCCAGAAGTAGGCTTGACTGGGCCTCTTGGCTCATGCCTGTGATCTCATCTACTTGGGAGAGTGAGGTGGGAGGATCACTTGAAGCCAGGAGCTCAGGATCAGCCTGGGCAACATAGCAAGAGCCTCCTTCCAATCTCTAAAAATAAATAAATAGATAAATAAAATAAGTGTACAATAAAATTAGGTGGGCATGGTGGTGCATGCCAGTAGTCTCAGCTATTTGGTAAGCTGAGGCAAGAGGATCACTTGAGCCCAGGAGTTTGTGGCTGCAGTGAGCTATGATCACATGACCACTGCATTCCGGCATGAGCAACAAAGTGAGAACCTATCTCTAAAAGAAAACCAAAAAACAAAAACAAGAAGTAGGCTCCATAGATTTGGGGTAGGGGTAGAATATGTATTTGGAAAATGCTATATACTGTACTCCCTTTGGATATTCATAGCATGCATTTGCATTTTGAATTCCTGCCAATCTTAAAACAACCCAGGTGTCATCAGTGGAGAATAGAGGCAGTGGGCAAATGGCTTGTAACCAAAGAGCTCTCCTTGACATCTACTTTTCCCTAATTCCACTTGGCTGCTATTAGCCACTCTTTGGCATGTATCTCTTTAATGTACATAATTCAGAGAGACTTTCCAATGCTTGCAAAGGCAAATTCATTAAAGAGTTATTCAGACGTCAAGATAAGGTCCTGTCTTTCCATAAAGATTATCAAATATAAATGACATGCATAAACCTGTGACTTGTACCAAATACCTTCCAACTAAAATAGCGCAAAATACTTTTAAGCGAGATTCTGCTATTATTTTCCTGAAATTGCATTTCTGCTGCCAAGTACTGTATATTTTAAGACCTCTCTCACTGAAAATTACTTTAATGAAAAACTAAACAAACCTCATTCCTTCCAGCAAAAATTGATGTTGGTAGACTCCAAGGAAGAGAATATCCTAGAGTCTCTCCCAGAAATGAAATCAACATCTGTTAGAGGCCAGTGTTGTGCTCTGGGGCATCACATGTCATCTTTTTTTGAATGTAAAAATCTTTGAACCACTGTCAAAAGAGAAGATGGGACAATAGGTGGTGAGGAGGCCTGCCCTTGCTACCATATTTCTCACTGCCATCCCACAAATAACCTCTTTGCCATGGAAAGAGGTTCTAATACTATTTTCTGGGCCCATTTTCAATGCCCCCAGCATTTTGCCCTTCCTCTAGAAATCTGAATGCCCTTCCTTCCTGCTCTGTCTCTCCATCAATCCAATAAAAATTCTATTAAGACCCAATCAAAATGCTATCTCCATTCAGACGCAGCAGCTCATGCCCATAATCCTAGCACTTTGGGAGGGTGAAGTGGGAGGATCACTTAAGCCCAGGAGTTCGAGATCAGCCTGGGCAACATGGCAAAACCACGTCTCTATGGAAAAAAAAAAAAATTTAAAAATTGGCTGGTGTGGTGGCACGCACCTGTTTTCCCAGCATCTCAGGAGGCTGAGGAGGAAGGATCGCTTGAGCCCAGGAGGTCGAGGCTGTGGTAAGCTGTGGTTGTGTCACTGCACTCTAGCCTAGGTGACAGAGTGAGACTACTACACACACAAAAAATTGCAATTTCTAGTTCTCTGGTGATCATTTATTATCTATGAATTTTTATGTCATTGACAGCCTAGTTCCTTGAAGACATGGCCAGCTCTAATTTATGTGCCTATTCCCACAGTAGCTACACAGCACACACCTGGTATATAGTGAGTGTCTAAAAACTATTAGTGAGTGAATGGAAGAAAAAAGAGTTCACCTTCAAATACCAACAACAGAAATAGAAGCTTTAAAAAAAAAATAGAAAAGCATGGAAAATGTTCTAATCTTTCTGAAAGTCACTCCCAGGTATATTAAGCCTCCAGCCTGCCCAAAAAGAAGCTTGACAAAGCAAACCTTATTCCTCCCCCATCTGTTATCTTTCTCTTCATTTCTCCTTTATGTTGCATAGTTTAATGCAAAGTTACTCCGTGCACAAGGGTTGTAACAGGGACATTTTCATTGTGGACTCTATCCGTATCCAAATAAATTGTCATCCTATTCTGTTTAAAACTTTTGTCATCTTCACTGTAATAATAATATTTCCACCTTAGTTTTTTCATATTTTCTTGATGTACTTTTATCTACATTTACCTTTCAGCCTTTTTTGTCACGTTCTCTAAGTGCTTCTTTTGAAAATAAACGTAATTGGTTTTTAGATTTATTTTTTGCCAATCTGAATTTATATTCTTAAACAGAAAAGGATTAAGGATTTTCATTCATTGTTATGAGTGAAATATTTGACTTTCGTTCTGTCTTATTACTAAATGTGTTCTTCGTATTTCCTGTTTCCTTCCATTATGAGTTTGTGTGTGTGTTTGTGTATGTGTTTGCCCACATGTGACTTATGTGTTCTTTCTTTTTAATAACCTCCCATGTTTGGAAGATCTACAACATGTTCTACAAATGATTGCCTCTGAGATTTGCAAAAAAGATTATTTATTCTACATTTCTCAAGTTATTAAAAAAGTAAAAATCAATATGGTATTTTGATTCTTCTATTATTTTAGGTAAATTTACCAAACTTTTAATCCCAAGTCCCATTACTTCAGCAACAGCATTTTCATTTTTATTTTTATTTTTTGCAGATTAAGTATGGCACTCTTTTCAATAATATTTTTATTTCTATTCCAATGTTTTTTAATTCATTCTTTTGAGAATAAATCTTAAGATATACATACATCTCATAACAAGATTTATACGTTTGTTTAAAACTTTCTAGTTTTAACCAGCTTCAGTATTCACCACCAGCTTTATTACTACATAACTTCCCTATTTTTTTTTCTTTTCTTGCCACTGATACATAGTTATGGAGTACATGTGATGTTTTTTATTGTACATATTTATGGAGTACATGTGATGTTTTAATACATGCCTATAATGTGCAATGACCAAATCAGCGTACTTAGGATATCCATCACTGTAAACATTTATCTTTTTTTGGTTGTGGGAACACTTCGCATCATCTCTTTTTGCTATACCTAGCTTCCTTTATGTTAAACTCTTATTTTTGTTTTGTTTCTCAGTTGTTCAAAGTATATTTTCAGTAATATTGTTTCAAGAAGAAAACATGAGTACTAAATACATAAGGAAGTAAGTTGCTGTAGACCACACCCCCTTGCTTAGCAGCAAAAAGTCTCTTGCAGATGGGGCAGATTGTTGGGCAGAGTCTAACTCAGGGCTTCTTGCGGGCTCGACTTACTGGCCCTTTGCTCTGTTCTTTTCCATTGTTTCCCTGTCCACTTTGCTTTCACTGAAGCTAGTAGCATATTCTCGCTTTTATATTAGCCCATAAAGTCCAAGTATTTGGGAACTGCTCCTTTATGTTAGTAACTTTTGGGGGGGTACTTCACAGTTTATAAAGCTTTTGCACATGTCATTTCACAGGTTCTGCACAACCACCTTACGAGGTTTTTACTATTGTGATTTGACCGTGAAGAAACAGGCTTACAGTTTAGGGTTTGAGACTACACAACTTGTCCTAACCTGGGACTGCAGAGCAGAGGGGCCGCTGTACATCATACTCTCCCTCCCATGCCACAAGCCTTCCCACAAGGCCTCCACAATGCCTGTGACTAGGGAGGGTTGGAGGCTGCGGGCGGAGGCCTTCTGAGACCCTCTTGGGAGGGGTGGACAGCAGCTCTTCTCCCCAGGGCTGCCAAGTCCCGCCATACCTCCTGAAGTGCCTGAGTGTGTGTGCATGGGGACCTCAGGAATGAGTTCACTTTACTCCTCAGGACTTGCAACAGCACCACCTTTCTAAATCTCTGCCTGCCCTGTGGAAACAACACAGCTCTTCACAGCCCGGCTTCCTTCTTTGACACGTGGCCCTTCCGCTGGGGGGAAAGGAGAGCTGCTAACGTCCAGAGAGGTAAACCTGGACTCTTGGGCCACCAGTGGCTAGGAAGCCTGTTTTGGCCCCAGGAGGAGCCTGGCGGCCACTGGCACCACCCAAGGGCTGCTGTGGGGGCAGAGATAACACACAGAGGAAGGGTGGGGTGGCAGAAGTCTTTCCAGGAGCAGGGCTTTCACGTAAACAATGAGCTGCTGCCCAGCCAGGGCAGAAGGTGATTCATCTCTCCTGCTGTATGGCTCCCACTGACTGCACTCACTGGGCACAGAGGGCCTGAGGCAGCCTTAGCCGGGCACCGACGCCTCTCCACTCCCTGTGTGGGTCGGGGATCTCACCCCAGCCCTTCTGGAAACTGGCTGAACTTCAAAGCCTGGGTGTGCCCAAGAAGTGGTCTGGCCTGAAGAGTGCTCAAGTGCACCCAAGGGGGCAGAGGCCCTTGCTCTCGCCCAAGAGTTCGGGATCAGGGCAGCAGGTGGTAGGAATGTGGGGTCTCCCTCCCTTCCTGTGCGTTGGCCTGCCCCCACCCAAAAGCATACACTGAAAATGACACGGTGACTTCTTGGGCCACCCCTCTGAGCAGGACCATGGGCTTCTGTCACTCCACTGCCACACCTGAGGCAGTAATCCCAACCAAGAAGATGAAGGAACACTTGAGCTTTCACACATGCCTGAACACAGACTGTAGGAGAGGCCAGTACATCCATGATGCCAGGATATGAGAATACAGCACTTTTAATAGGGTGACAGTCCCAAGTGGTACAAGAACAGACACTGTCCATGACACCCTAATCCTGTGCCGCAATGTCCTTCTTCTGGCTGAAATGCCACACAGAAGCTTCTCAGGTAGCATCTGGGACAGCAAGTTCCAGTCCTGAAATACACAAAGTAGCACTTCCCAGTGGGCACAGGTCATTGGGCTGCACAGTTCTTTCAAGTCCTAGGGTGGCCCCTCCAGTCCACTGCTTGGCCTTCTTCACAATGGTGTCCACGGCAGAGATGACAGTGGTCTTGGAACCACTGGCGCTGGTGATGACTGTGACAACAGCTGGCAGGGTGGCCGTGGTGGTGAGGATGGTGGCCTGGGCTACTGTCGTCACTTGCTCTTTCTCTTTTGGGCATCTGTGATGGCTGTGCTGGTGGTGGTGGTGGTAGTGGCCGTGGCACGGTCATGGTGCCCTTCTTGGTGCCCGTCACAAACTCAATTTTGGTTCGCTCCTTTTTGACCTTTTCTAGTTTGTCCATTTCAATCTTCTGGGCCTTGGCTAATGCCTCATAGTAGTAATCTTCAGACCAGCCATGGAGTTCAAACGTATCCTTTGGGTAGTTGGTGCCGAGCTCATTGATGGCACAGAACTGGATCAGCTTCTTGTAGATGCTGGGGTTCCAAAATTCTTTCTTCCTTTGGATAATGTAGTTCATAACCATTCCTTCCTTTATTTTTCATTCATAAAGCTTCTGGATCTTGTCTTGTAAGTGATTTGAGCATCTGCCAGGGGGTTCTGGCGGGATCTTGATTTCATCAGGTGACATGTTCCGGACTCTTTCAGAAAAGGAGGCCACTAATTCCTGGGGATCTCGCTTTTCTACTTCTATATTATCCTTTGGATCATCACCCTCAGGTTTTGCAGTCTCTGAATCATCATCTTCCGACTGTTTGCTGTTCTCATCCTCTTCTTCTTCATAACCATCTTCATCACCCCCTAGGCATGAAAAGTCGTCCTCTCCATAAGCATCAGATACTAAACCACCTTTCTCCTCAGTCGCGCTGTCCACCGCTTCGACTCCAGCCTCTCCATCAGACTCGGGCTCTGAATCTTCCGCGTAAACTGCCAGAGACGACAGAACATTCCTATGTTAGTAATTAAATCATCTACTTGTCAGTCTGTCCTTCACTGCTTTTAATAAGGATTTTGATGATGAAACTATTTTTTCCCTTCCCTGTATTCCCCACACATTCTTTCAGGGTTTTTTAAGAATTTATTTTTTTGATTTCTTTATCATAATATCTGATCCTCTTTTATTTTATTGTCAACCAAAAAACAGATGCTGTCTATAATTGCCTTTTGTTTACTATGGTATAATCCTGCAAAAAAATGTCTTTCCATATGGCATTGTCTAAAAGAGTAAAGGAGACAGGTTATGCAATTCAAGGCAAATGGCCAATGTAACAACATAAATTCCAGAGGACAGAGACCATGGTGTGCCGTCTTTCCTGTAGTGTCCTGAGCACTAAGCCTGGCACCTATTTGATAGCTGGTCAATAAGAATTCGTTAAGTGAGTGAATGGGTGTTCAGTCAATGAGAAATACTATTATCATAATTATGGTTATGATTTGTATGATATACAAAGCAATGTACTTGATAATTAAGAAGGCAGAATTGCAGATAACTTCAAAAACTATTTATCCATCAAACATTGACAGATGACCAACTGTGAGGGGCTCCGTGCTGATATCTGGGGATACTAAGTATGACATCTTCATAAATTCAAGTGAGAAGACTGAGAGGTAGCAAAGGAAATGGAAATAGACATTATCTAGAAACTAGAAGAAATGAGGAGGCAGTTCTACACTGTAAGCTGAAGAACTGTTGGACTTCCTCAATGACATATTCTGTAGAGGTCAGTGGACAAGGTGGGCTCTATAGGCCTCATGGTGCTCTCACCAGCCTTCCAAAGCCATTCTACTCCCACCTCCATTCAGGTGATCAGACTGGAATGTCCAAAAGTCAAATCACTGGCGGAAGGATATCTGAACACCATTTGGGATACTAGTTTGGGGAAGTCAGATAGCCAAAGAAACTGTTAGACTCTAGTTCATCTCAGTGGTTTTGGTCAAACCGCCACTTATTTTTCTAAATCTGTTTTTCTTCATATACATATATGCTGATATTAGATAGACATAGAAACTGCCTCCCCTCTCCACCCCATCCTTAAACATCTCATGACTATTCAGAATGAAAAAGGGACCAAAAGGCAAAGAGAGGGTCCTAATATGCATACAACTCTCCAGAATATAAACAATTCCCAAGTTGCCAGAAACAGCCTCTATCTTATCAGTGTAAGAAAAAAATAATGTGTAACTTCCTTCCTTAAACTGTTTATTTTACTATTTATTGACTGAAGTCTTAAATGCTCAAATTTGAGAAGAAAATCATTTTTTAAAAGTCAGCCAAAGGAAAGAGACTGTCACTCTTAATTTTAGATCATGATGTATGCAAATGCTTTGATGATTTCTTGAATCACCACATTTTGTTGATCTTTCAGGAAAGTAATGCTTTTCCTGCTTTCTCCCCAAAAAAGAGATTTGTATTTTAGGAGCTTTTTAAGATCATACCTTAGCAGAAAAAAAGACATGTGGGAAGGTATTTTCAGTGCATAAATACCAGATCAGAGAGGGCAGAATGTCTAACCATTTAAGGTGGTTTTGGTCTTTGGCTATATTTTTAGTCATTCCCTATAAGTCAACAACTAGATGCTATGTATTAATATCACAACATATATACCCTGAGTACATATTTCCATGTTCTTCTGAAACCCATTGTGCTTATATATTTTCTCCCTGTTCTATTCAGGAAAAAATTTTTAAGTTACCCAAGACAGAAAGAAGGAGGAGTTATCTATCCATTTGAGGTAGAGCTTGGATGAAGTTTGGGGGTGGACAGAAAGTAGACACAGAATAAATCTCGGATGCACTTTGAGAGTTTCCCAGACTGGAAGCTGCAAAGCCTCTTCCTTCCTGCCTATGATATTGCTGATTCCTGCCTTTCTACCTGAGGGTCAGAACAACCCACCACAGACAGATGTTGAAAGGCTGCCTGCCTTTGGACTCATGATTAATATAATGTGATAAGACTAGGGATCTACAGGAACAGGCCATATGTAGTTATAAACACAGGGAAGGTAGAGGAGACCTGTTGGAAAATGTGTCTCCTGCACAAGCACTACCGTCTAGCTGCTGTAACAGGGAACGCTCCACTGACCTGCTTTAGAATGGTCCTCTTGGTTGTGCAGCCACAGTGGATAGCACATCATAAGGTGACAGAACTGGGCCAGTAGTACAAAATAAGACGTCTTTTGTATATGTCTGTGGCTCAATGCATCAGGTGGGAAATGGGGGCAGTCTGTGTGTGTATGTGCCTGTATTTGGAAGTATCGGTACATTGTGACTCAACTACTAAGGACAGAGGATGGGGGTGATGAGACATGCATGGCTAAAACCTGTTAAATTGTTTTCTCCATAGCTTATCAAATACTGACTGGTTGCCCAACCACAGCAACAAAGTAGATACCATTCTGTTACATGCTAAGCTTATCTGGGGAAAAAGTACAACAGCCCCATAGCTACCCTGCACTCCCTGGCTCAACAACATAACAATAAACAAGCACAGGAGGGTCCATACATACACATATGTATGCCTGTACACACCACAAACACACACATTCCTACTTCCAATCAGGGAAATGTATTTCTGTTGACATAATAAGAATGTGGTTTAGAGACCAGTCAGGGAGACTTGGTGAAACCTCGTCTCTACAACAGATCAAAAATTAGCCAGGCGTGGAAGCACACGTCTATAGTTCCGGCTACTTGGAAGACTGAGGTGGAAGGATCGACGGAGCCCAGCAGGTGGACCCTGGAGTGGCCGTGAGTGTGCAATGACACTCCAGCCTGGGTAACAGAGTGAGACCCCAACTCAAAAAAAAAAAGACTGTGGTTTAAAGAGTTCACATCCAGTGTAGCCTATGCTTGATCGCTTGTGTTCTGAGATCTGGGTATTATCTTTACCCTGCTTATAAATGTCATAAAGAGAAGTACCAAGACTCATATATAATTAAAACTGATAAAGGACAATGACCAACCTGACTCTGTGGACCCAGAAGAACTATATTACTTTGCCTGAGATAAGCCTGATATCTCTGTTTGTAAAAAAGAATTCAAGCAATACTTTCCGAGTATCCATTTTCTCATTTTAAAAAAGTAGAAATCAAAAACACCTATGTGATAGATTTGTTATAAAGATTAAATAAGCCAGTACTCAAATGCAGTAGTGCTCAATTATTAGTAACATTCTAGGCACTTTACTTCTCCCCAGTCTTACTACCCTGCTTCCTACTCAGGGGACATGTGCTGTTTCTCTCCCAAGTCTCACATTCACTGCCAGAAGTTTGCTGCCCGGATGCCTTGTCAAGCCAGAGTGCTTAAATATGTCTACAATGGAACAAAGCATCTCCTTCCTCCATAAAACTGGCCATTTTATGGATTGACGTTCTCTCTCCTGTTAGGGCAGAAGGCACCTTGTCCTCTGAGATAGCTGGTCCCTTTATCCAGAAATTCCCTTCTGTGACCAGCACTTCTTCTGTGGCTTTTCTACCATCAGCATCTGCCTCTCTTCCCCACTGTTCCCGCCCTGGTCCGGGCTTCAGTACATCTCACATGATCTGTTTCAAGAACTTCCTAAATTACGTTATTTCTTTCCACCTCTACTGCCTCATCCACTGCCAAATCTCTTCTAGGAGCAAACTGACATCATATTACTGCTGTTCTCAAGAATGCTTGCACTAACTCTTTGCCTAAAGCATTACAAGTATGCTGCCTAGCTTGATTGCTAAAAACATCCAGTAATTAACAAAGGCAAAGTAAGGGCTTTGTCCCATCAGATTTATAGAAATTGAAACTTTGTTCACTGTCCCTCACATTCACCATCAAGATTACTGGTGAATATCAATAAAAGGGAGCATCACAAATCACAAACTCAAACTACAGTCCTGCAAGAGGCAGTCAGGAGAGAGGCGAGATGCTGCAGAGGAGTCCAAGGGTAGGTAGATGAAGGGACTTGAACATTTGATTTGTCTTCTCTCAATCCTAGTGTCTTTAAAATGAGATTAGCCGGGTTCAGTGGCTCAGCCTGTAATCCCAGCACTTTGGGAGGTCGAGGTGAGTGGATTGCCTGAACCCACAGGTTTGAGACCAGCGTGGGCGACTTGGCAAGACTTTGCCTCTACAACCAATCAAAAATTGGATAGGCATGGTAGTGCACACCTGTAGTTCAGCTACTTGGAAGGCTGAGGTGGAAGGATCGTCAGAACCTAGCGGTTCGATGCTGGAGTGGCCATGAGCGTGCCACTGTACTCCAACCTGAGTGAGACGCAAACTCAAAAAAAAAAGAGAGAAAGATTGGAAGTAACAACACTTGTTTTATAGAATTTGCATATAACTAAATAAAATGATTCATGTGAAAGTACTCTGAAGACGATAAAACTCAAAAACTGTTCACTATTGTTTAAGCTATCTTTATGTGCAAAGCAGGATGATATTAATTGTCTGTCAAATTCCTAGGAAAGCACATTGGTGACATGGATTGACTAGTCTTTTTACTGGATACCTAGGGATAAATACAAATTCTTTAGCCTTGAGCTAGAAGAACAGTTCTGAAGAAAGCAAATGAGACTGTGAACACTGCAGACTTCAGAAAAAAGGAGAAGGCAGAGTCATAGAGATGATTAATACTGGGGTCAAGGGTGTCAAGTTCAGATGTTTCCCAGATGATCGTGAGAAAGTGATCACTCAAGGCACCTCCTCCCAAAACTTTAAGCAAAACACACAAAACCAAAGAAAAACTTGCCAGCCATGTTATTAGGATGTGAACTGATGACCCAGAGGGCAAAGGCTGTGGACTCCAAACATAAGGCACTGAGCCAACCAAACTCTAGCTGCTATTTTTAAAGCCAAGTGTGGGTGAGAGGCGGGGAAGTAGAGAGAGTTTTTCCACTAGGAGTCAGGAACCGAAATAGGAAAGATCAACAGAGGCATTTATAAACAATGAATGCCATTAATTTTTTTAAGCTAAGACAGGGTTGGAAAAGATGTAGTGTAACAAGGAGTGGGGAACATAGGCAGGGAAACATGACTCAGGGTTCTTTACATTTTTAATGGTCCTTCTTGCCTAATGGCATTTCAAAAGTCATTGGTGAATTACTTTATTATTGAATTACCTGGAAAACATGGAAACCACCTTGTGCAATTGAACTCAGGGAGGGGAGAGATAGGATGGATTATTTTTATGGAGGTCCCATACTAGAGTTCAATTGTGATAGGAAATATGTTCCCTTTCTTCCCCTTTAACAGAAAACGTACTAGCTACTGAGCGATGCATAAGTTTAGTTAGTAGTGTTCTAACTCCAAAGTCCAAGCTGTTTCTAATAGACCACACTGTGAGGACACTGACAAGTAATCTAAGGCTTCTTGGGAAGAGGTAAGAAAGATAAAGATAAATGGTGTGACATTGTAAAAAAAAAAAAAACAAGTTCTTAGCCGGGCTCGGTGGCTCAGCCTGTAATCCCATGCTTTTGGGAGGCTGAGGTGAGTGGATTGCCTGAGCCCGCGGGTTCGAGACCCACCTGGGCAGTGAGACCTCATCTCTACAATAAAAAAAAAAAAAATCAGCCGGGCATGGTAGCGCATGCCTGTAATTCCGGCTACTCGGAAGGCTGAGACGGAAGGATCACTGGAGCCCAGAAGGCGAGGCTGCGGTGGCCAGGAGCGGCCACTGCACTCCAGTCTGGGCAACCGAGTGAGACCCCAACTCAAAAAAAAAAAAGTTCTTGTTTGAGCTGTGTCTGCTTAACTTCCCAGGATGGTGTGACAAAAAGGACCATTAGACCAGGAGGCTGGAGACTAGT